CCTATAACAACTTTATACTCTCCTATTGAGCCTGCTATATAAATAATAATAACAAAAAAATTAGAGAATTATAATTAAATAAAGACCATCTAACCTGGGATCCTAGTAGTAAGCAAATCAGACAAACTTATGCTTACAAATTCTAGATTAACTATGCCAAAGCAATCTTGATACTAGTAATTAGCTATAATCTTAACTTTAAGTTCAATATTAAATTAACAACCAGTAAAAAGCCTTATCTGGTTAATATCTCTGTCATGATGACTTCAAACCCATAAATATTAGCACAGATATAAACTTCTAACCCAATAAGATCTTTAAAGCAATATAAGAAATAAATCTATAAATATAAACAAGATTGTAGATACAAACATACAAAGTCCAACGACAATGTAAAGCATTAGCCTGTTGATATGGAAGATCCAGTCTTAAAAAGCTTTTCCCGATTGACATCTTTGCTATAATAACTTCAGACCCATAAATATTAGCGACTGGCTAGTATAAAATTTTGATTTGATAAGATCTAAGTAGTTTAAGGAGTAGCTTCATAAATATAATGAGATTCAATAGATATAAGATCAGTATGTTAAAAATTATTATTTTTATAATTTAATGTTAAATACGTTTTTTTGCTTATAGCTATTATCATTATTCCTGAAACATCTTATAAAAATTAACCAAATGATTATTCAGCTAATTTGATAAGTTATTGATTTCGATATGATCAATGTAACATTTATTATTTACGGAGATGGTCTAAAGCTATATACGTATAGTATTCTCAAAAAATTTAATACCGTTATATAAAAATTTTTGGTTAATTAAATATTGATATTTTTAGATATAGTTGTAACGAAATATAATTTATAGTTTTTTTTTCTTTATATATTGATAATGATAATGATGCGATATATTGATTAATAATGTACTTAGCTTACACAATTTAATTTGCATATATGTATTATACATTTGAATAAATTTATATTAAGTTTTTATGTATACCCACCTTAAACTTGACAATCTTTGTTATCAAAGTTCTATCTCAGATTGTAACTTATAAAAATACTAGTCAGGCTTCTCTCCAATTAATATTTTAAGATATTTTATATATATCATTCAGGTTTAGTAGACTGGTTTTCTTACAAGTGGCAGAAGTCTTTCAATATAACCATATCTTTAAAAACTCGACTTATTGATGATCTGCTAAGTATTTGAAATTATTTGAACTTATAATCTAAATTTTTTTGTTATATTGATATTGGTTATTTGGTCATTATTGATTAATAATTAGTATTGTTGTATTGTAAATAGAGATCATTTAAAGCTATACATTCCATATGAGTTTCAATTTACAAATCAATTAATAACGAATTTAAAACCCATGTACATACACACATACCTGGCTTTAGACTATCTCCATAAATAATAAATATTATACTGATCATACTGAAATCAAAATTTATTGAATCAGCTAAATAATTATTCAGTTAGTTTTTTATAAGGTGTCTCAGAAATAATGATAACAGCTATAATAATTTTAACAATTATTTTTTTTACTTTGAACTTGTTTTTTATTGGCTAATCAGTATGCATATTATATAATGCAACTTGAGCCAGCTCATGTTAGCTTTATTGGCTCAGCTTAAAAGCTATGACTAAGCCAGCTCACTATGAGCCAATTCCAACCCTAGATCAAAGACAACTTGTCTTAGTATCAAGAACAATTGTTTATTCACAACTCTCTATAACTTATTTTTTTTTTCAATATTTTGATTTTATATATATATTTTTTATTATAATTCTTCTAATTTTTTTGTTATTATTATTTATATAGCAGGCTCAATAGGAGAGTATAAAGTTGTTATAGGATAAAATTAAATAAGAATTGCTAAAGAAAAAGATAGATCATATTGAAGTATTTATTTATCTAATTTATATAATGTAGAAGAAAATTAATATATAGAAATGCTAATTAACTCTTTTTTTAAACAAGGCAAAACAACAAATTTAGATAACAAAATATACTTCAGCTCAAATAAATATAATTTAGTATATATTTATTAACAATAGCAAGAAATATGAATATGATTTACAGGTTGATAAGAAGATATCAAAAAAAAGCAAAATTTAATTTATTAGTTTTTTTACTTAAATATTGATATTTATATATAAGGTAAGTATCCCTATTATGATACAGCTAATCTTGCTCAATAGCAAGTCTTTATTGAATTAACATAAAAATATCCAGTTTTTACTAAATTTAATACATTCTAACTTAGAATAAACATTTGTTTAAAAAAAAATTTTTTTTAGACTAAAAAAATCTAATCCATATTAAAGTAACATAAATCCTTCCAAAATCAAGATTATCAAAAGATCGCCACTAATTTGACGCACTGGAATAAAATCGAATAATTTTTAAATTTTTTCTTTTTCACGTTGGTTCGTATTCTTAATATGTTGCTTTTCTGACTTCAAACGTTCCGTTTCCTCCTTTTTTTTTCGTGCCTCTTGCTTCTGCGCCTTCTCGGCTTCACATGCTGTCCGTTTTTGGATAGCTTCTTCTTTTTTATATTGTTTCTTATTGAATATCTTTTCTGCCTCCTCCTCCACCTCTTTCAGTTGCTTCAATGATTCTTTGTTTGTTAAAAGCTGAGAGAAGGGCATGGTTTTTTTTTTTTTTTTTTTGGAAGTTGGGATCCAGATTCTTTTTGATCAGATCCCGGATCTTCAGTTGGTGAATTAGAACGCAAGGAATATTTAAGTATCTGCCGCAAAGAACTTGTACCAGGGTTATTAAGAGTTTTAATCTCTTCTTCCAAGCATTCAACTCTTTCATTTAATAAACTAATTTCAAACATTAGCTTTTTTTTTGTAGGGTTTGCCTTGGTAAGGCATGTATTAATTGGAGCTAACTTTGAACTTTGCGAAGACGATGATTGTGAATAAAAGAAGATCGTGAAGACGAAGAAGATTGTAAAGACAAAGAAAATTGTGAAGACCTGGATGATTGTGAAGACAAAGGAGCTTGTTGCTCAGAGGCTTGTAGAATATAGGTACGTTTAGTTGTTAATGAAGAATCTAAACGGTCAGGTTCAATTGTACTAGGATTGAATAGCCAAATTCCTGTAGTTTTGAATGAATTGCATATTGTAGTAGGTGTATAGGTTGCAATATATGATGGTTCTAAAACTTCAGCGAACGTGTGTTTAGTTACAAATTTACTATTACTATTAATTCGAAACTTATCACACTCTTTATTGTATGTTTTCTTTAGAGTAGCAAATGGTAATTCGGCTGGTTGTAAGATATGAGTAGTATGAGAGGGAAGGGCATAGAGGAGAATATTGTTCTCATAACAGTAGTTAACACTAATGTAGTTGATATGACTTTTATGGCCATCTAGAATTAACAATACGGGACATGCAGATAGGATAAAACTAACGAAATGCTTGATATATTTTTGAAATAGGCTTTCTCGCATGTATCCTGTCTCAGTAAATCCCATGACAGAACCTGCAGAAGCGCCATTTAAAAGACCCAGGATTGTTTGTTTTCCTTTAAAGATGAACAATAGTGGGATGTATATCCCGGCAGCTGATATAGTTGGATATACAGAAATATGTTTGTGAGAGCTGCCATATGAAACCCGATGAACCTGGTGTGATCCCTTTTTTGCTATAACTTTTTGGATTCTAGGTTCAATGATAAACCCTGTTTTATCCTAAGAAAAAAAATAATAAATAAAAAAATAAAATAATCCGATTTAAAAAAAATAAATTAAAAAAAAATAAATTAAAAAAAAAATAAATTAAAATAAATTAAAAAAAAAAAAAAAACAAAACTATATTCCAAATTCTGTCAGCAGTAAGTGAAAATTCTTGGATGATCTTTTCAAGTTTGTTGAAATAATCATTGATAATAACAGGGTTTGCCCTTTGTGTACGAGCTTCATTTAGGGCTTGCAGAACACAAATTGAAAGCTCTGGGTGGTCTTTCATGAAGCATTGCCACCACTTTCGCCCGGCCTATTATTCTTAAAGGGATAGGATCTCCCGTCTCAACGAACAATATCCATTACACACTGATTTACTCCAAACTTTGTTAACCCAAAACTGAGCTTTTGCATATTCAAACAATAACCAACCAACTGTTCTTCTTTATGGTTGGTTAGAGTTTTAGCATGGTCTGGTAGGGCGAGAGGACCATTATTTTTGATGGCACGTCTAAGGGTAGCTTCTGAAAGACCATAGTCACGTGCAATACTTCGGGTGCTTAGAACCTTGATATTATTCGAGGTTTTCTTAATTGTCTTAAGGGCATTGTTAATGATATTATTTCGGGTATTACAATCGTTATACTTTGTCATAGTTTTATTTTAAAGTTTTGAATAAACTATTTCTCTTCGCTTTATTACAATATGAAAGGTTTAAATTGTTTACAGTACAAAGTTTCTATTACATTCAACGAGATATTTTGAGATCATTACATAGGCTAATTTGTAAATATTTACAAGATCAAAAACTATCTAATTAATTTAAAGTTTTAATTTCGCATTTTTTTTTCGCTCATTAATAAGGTTGCGCAACCTTCTTATTTTATTAAAAAGAGGGTTATTACAATTACAATACATACAAAGCTATCAACAAAATAACACTATCTAATACAAGAATATTGGTTATTTAATATATAAGGCCGATTTCTAAGTGCTATGATTATCTTTAGTCAAGAAGTTTGTGCATGAAAATTAAAGTCGCGGCGAGAAAAATTTAAGTAGATTAATTAAAAAGTGTTATCTCGCGTTTTAGTGATCAGAATCACGTGATTTGGGTACCAATCGACTCATCTTGACGAGACGAATCGAATGGTACCTAAATCACATGACTCTGATCACTAGAATACGAGATATCGCAGTGCGTCAAATTAGGCACTGCGTCATAATAGGGATACTTACCTTAGTAAAATTTTGAATAATTTAGTATTTTTATTTATTTTACTAGTAAAATTATAGAAAAATCACTATAATTCAAAATTTTACCAATATATAGTATCTTGGTGCTCTAAGTAAACTTGTTTAGCACATAAAATTATATTAAAAAAGTAGATTTATTTTTATTATTCTTTTTTTTTAAAAATTAGTAAAAATAAGATTATAATAAAATTATCAAAAAATAAGCTTAAAATCATTATAAAATTTATATTTTTTTTTTATAGTAAAATAATCTTATGAGCATGAATTTATAGAATCAATATCTTTAAGATCATCTTAAACCTATTAAAAATTTTTAGCTAGTTTCTATAAAGTATATATTTACTTTTTTACAATTTCATAGTAAATAGGCAAACTTTAAAAGGCTACTGCTCCATCAGTTTAGATTTAAATCTAAATTTAAACCACAAGTTTTGTTCTTAAAGGCAAGAAGAACTAATTTTGTAGATTAGTTTTACATTTTATATATTTTTAAAAGAAGAGTAGCGTTTTTTTGTAAAGCTATTTTTTATGGAGATTTAAAGCTTTCTGCACTATAACTATATATTATTTTTTTAATTGTTGATTGTCTAGTATGGCATATAATAAATTTAGTAATATTTTATCAAGTGCTTTTGCTCAAGAACCTGGTATCTCTATATAATAATTGTCTAGCATCTTCGCAAAATAATAATAGTAACTATATATTGTTTTCACTATTTGTAATATTGATTATCTAATATACTATTTAATAAATTTAATAATATTTGTTATCTAATATCTTTATTTAAAAATCTAATGTTAAGGGTATAGTAACTTAGTGAAGTAGTTAAGTTGTTATACTTTCAAGCAACATGTTGGCTAGATAGAGAGTTCGAAATTCACTAGTGACAAATTTTGAAAATTCTATCTATACAATAGCTACTGTTGTTTTGTTAATTGGTTAGAATATCTTTGTAATCTTGGTAGCACCAACAAAAATTAGAAGATCATATAGTATTTGTATAATATATGAGTTATACAAATAAGCTTTCAGATCATAGTAAACCCAGAAAACTGGAAAGAACAATAGACACTTGCTTGGCAAGACCTGAGTAGAGAGGTAGCACAGATCTTTAACAGTACTACTGAAAAATTATCATTAGGAAAACTGGCAAAACTGAATGGGACCGAAGTGTTTAGCAAGGCACTCCACCAACCAAGCTACCGGAGAAGTAACCGAAGGAAAAGAACCCAACCATAGGGACTAGAAGCAGATCATAGCCCTTCCGGACTATCTAGATTAGTAGTTTAAAATTGTTAGAATTAAAACTAGTAATAGTCTATAAAATATATACTGAGGTCTGAATGAACTCTACAAGGGCAGAAGTAGATAATAATAGGGCCTTGGCTCGCAAGTACTTGTCCTTGGACTCAGTATAAGTTACCAAAGTCTAGATTAGCCAAATTGTGGATACAGAAAGCTTTAGCAAGTTAATCTTGAGGGTAAATTAGTTCTAGATCAGGTGCTTTCTATAGCAGATATTGGTTTCTCATAAGGATATAGTAGCACAGAAGGTTTAAATAGATAATCTTCTAGTTGAATTATAGATATAGTATCTAATATAGAACCTTCAGGCAGACTACTTAAATAGGCAATCAAAAATTATACATGTAACTAGTTGTACTCTTTAAAACTATGTACCAAATAAGTAGCAGCTAATTTTGATCAGTTTAGTACATAAACTAATAAAAGCAACTGACTATAAGATCACTTAATATTAAAAATAAAAAAAAAAATAAAAAAAAATAAAAGTCTAATATTTTTGTTTGATAACCTAGTGACTTTGCTCAACAACCCAATATCTTTGCTAAATAACTATAGTAACTATACATTATTTTTACTAAGAAGTATCTATAAATAATATTATACAAGAAGAAGGAGAGATTTTACAAAAATAACATTTTTTTTACATTTTTTGCTAAGTTAGAAAGGGGTTGAAAAAAAAATTTTTTTTATAAAAATATTAATATCTCGTGACCCAGTAGTCCAAATTGGATGAATTTGGTATCATTGAATTCGTCTCGATAAGAGGAATCCAGTAGTACTAAAATTATTCAATTTGAATTACTGGATCAAAAGATATTAGTAAAAAACTTTTTTATATATATTAGCAGCCTCGCCAGTATCTTTATTAGATCAAAGCGTATACATAAGATGCACTTAAACTATCTAAATTACAGATCCGACATCACTTGGCTACCCCTAGAAATGCCCAAGTGTGGTCTGCCTCACTAGTTAAAGCTATTGCCTGTATCGGAGGGCTATACCAAGCTAGCCTAGAAAACCATCACAAGATGGTTTTAAAACGAACAAATTCTTTATTACATTATATTAGCAATTTTTCTTTTCTAGACTATCATTCTTTTTTATGCAAAGTTCTAACTCTAATTTTTTAAGAATAAATCGAATAACTTCCTCTTCTGATACGAGATAATTGCCAAACCTCTTTCGTTCGTGTTTATATTTCTTCTTCCTTTTCCTTTTCTTCTAATTCAATCTATCTTTTCTGATTTGAGACTTGGGTCTTAAGAGTCTTCTCGTATTCTTTTCTATAACCTTTTTTTTCTAGTTTATACCCAAGTATTTTCTTTCTTCTTCTTGAGGGCTTGTTCTAACGGTTTCTTCCAAGAATATCCTTCTCTTCATCTTTCTTTT